CTCTCAAATGGTGTTTCAATAATTGGCAGTGGTTGCAACTGGGCTCGCGCTACTCCTTTGCCTGAGGTCAACTGACATTTTTCACAGGAACGGCAAAACTCAGAAACCTGGACATACATCCCTGGCCAAACAAAACGGCTGCTGATCCTATTCAGTGTTTTGTGAAAAGCCATATGACCTGCCCATGGAATTGAATGACCCAAATCCATAACTTTGTCTCTGAACTGTTGTGGGAGTGCCACAGCTTCGCACTTCCCCTTTCTCTGGTACAAGATGCCTCCTTTAATCAAGTAAACAGTGTCTGCAAGACAGCTTACCTGACCTTGACTAGCCCCCTCTACCTCTGTTACCTTCTCAAACCAGGGTTTTAGAGTAGGGTCGCTTCTTTGGAGTGCACCTAAATCTGAGGGAACATCAAACTCAAGTTGGTTATTTGGCTTAGGGAACAATGCTGTACCTTTTCCCCCTGAGCCTTTGAACTTTTCTCTTCTTTTCTGAGCCCTAGACTTCCTAATCTTCCCTGGCTCCGTTTCGAGAGACTCCTCAAAAAAGGGCAGTTCTTGCATCCTTTCCTTTGCACTTTGTGCTCTTGTGACTACATGACAGGGTTTAAATGGTTCAACTGTCATCTCTAGAGGAAGTGAGCTTCCAGATTCATCACCTAAGCCTTGAATGTCTTTCTCAGCACTCACTTGAGGGTCATAATCCGACTGATGTATTAGATCAAAAAGAGTGGGGATGTCATTACCAAGTATCACTGAATATGGCAAACTGGGAACAACAGCTACCACTAACAAGTAGGTTTGACCTCCTACTGTCAGGTAAACCTCAGCAGTGGGGTACCTGTGTTCATCTCCATGCACACAACTTATTGTAGCCCCAACCCCACTTAGCTTTTCTCCTGAAATTATGCTAGAGTGTACAAGAGTTTGGAAGCACCCAGAGTCAAGCAAAGCTTCCTCTTTACGCGCATTAATTAAAACAGGGACAGTACAAGCTTTCTTTCCTACTGGCTCTGTGGCTGGTCTTGGAACTGCACATAAAAGAGATGGTTTTGACTTAAGGGCAGGGCAAAATTGTTGTGTATGGCCAAAGTTATGACAGTGATAACATTTAATATCCTGAACTGAAGACTTAAAGGATTTCTTCACATTGTGAGGTCTATGAGAAGGGAGCTGCCTAGAACTAGAAAGATTTCTAGCCTGAACTTGATCAGAACCCTGTTCACCCCCAATGGACTTACTTGGTTGGGCGTAGTGGGTCTCCCGGCTGAAGTAGGTGCTCTTGCTTCCTTTTCTGGCTGAAGTGAAAACCTCTGCGAGGCTAGCTGCTTCCTTTGCAGTCTTCGGGTCATGCTCACGTATCCAAATCTCCAGCTCTGGATTAACCATTCTCAAAAACTGCTCCAGAATTATCTGCTCAGATATTTCTTCTACAGTTGATTTTTCAGGTTTAATCCATCTTGAAAACAGGTCTTTCAATCTTACATAAAGTTCACGTGGCGTCTCACCTGGCTCAACTTTCAGAGATCTGAAGCGGCGTCTGTAGGTGTCAGCAGTGATCTCATATTTTGCCAGAATTGCCTCTTTCACCTTATCATAATTCTCAGAGTCTGTTAAATCCATAAGAATGTAGGCTGTGCGGGCTCTACCTGTCAACAGGGGAACCAGACGAATAGCCCACTCATCTCTGGGCCATCGACACACGTTTGCCATTCTTTCAAACGTAGTCAGAAAATGTTCAATGTCATCTTCTGGTGACAGAGGAAAAAGTTTTGGTTCAATTAAAGACCTGGACCCACTGGCCACTGGAATGTCTTCACCATTGAATCCAAGTTCTTGTTCTTCAGATGTTGTAGGGGGCGCTGGCGCCTCTGGTGGGTCAGGCTTATCAGTTACAGCGTTAACTTGTAGCTGGATTTGCTGAAATTGATGCTGCATGCCTTTCCACCTTTGCTCCTGACGTGACGAATCCTTCTCCCACTTTTGGTCTCTGGCTGCTTGAGACCGCATAAGAGATTTCACCAACCCTGTTAACTCCTCCAATTTGTCCTCAGGGCTTGTTGCTGCCATGGCCTCTAGCTCAGATGAAGCTCCAACTCCTTCATCAGGCTGCTCCTCTTGGCCTGGCTTTCTTCCACCTCTTGTCATCATCTTCTCACTGTGGCATGAGTGACACACTTCTGACACCACTTGTAACAGGGCAGCCCTTAGCAGCTGGAAACACAGTGAGACAGACCAAGGCAAGTGTAGTGGAACAAAGTATTTATTTGCTATATGGCTCTCCTTAAAACAATTAACTTGTCGAGCTTCTTCACAGCACAAAAAATCCCCTAATGACAACTGGCAGCCTTAAATATGTTCAGCTGTCACAGACTTAACCATTATTCCACTCTCAGGTAAATTCTTAAATCCCAACCTTCCACCACAGTATACAATATATCAATAAGAATAAATAAATACATCTTCACATTTACATATTAATAAATATTTCACACTTTAATGTTACACAAAACCCAATATTATAAAAACCCAGAAACCCAAGCACAAAAAGATTCACCACACTCTCTTTACCCATGGTCTCTCCCGGAACCTTTAAATGGTGTCTGGACCCCCGGGGAAACATTTGCCCAAACACCTTGAAGAGGACACAGGCAAGAAAGGTGAGTAATCATTAACTTACAAACACTTATTTGCACCACTTTTATCCCTAGATTTCACACACACATTTGCCTTAGTTTTCCTTATTGGTAAACCTTAATCACAATCACCATTCTTCTCTCCTGACAGACAACCACCACATTCCTTGACGAGGAGCAGCTGTGCAGGATCTGAAACAAGGCCACCAACTGATTTTAAAATTCCCAATAAATAGTCAATAAATATTTAAACTTCTTGTGTGCAAATCCATGCTTAAAGTGCAATGCTCATAAAGTGCTTGATAAGGTGCTTTTAATAAAGTGAAAGGTGTGCTCTAAAGTGCTATACAGACAATACAATATAAATAAATGCAGTAAGGGAGTCCTCTTCCTTACACTCACACAAAAACACTTATAGCTACTGTGCCAGCTCTTCTACTGATTAAAGAGTCGCATTGCCTTTTAGATTTTTGTTTCTTTTTTGTTTTGTATATATCCCTTAGGTTGCTTCAGCAGTTGGTTCTAATAATTTAAAGCCAGCTTGTTATTATTGTGCCTTTGTTTAAAGAGGGAGCGACACACTGAGAGCAGGTCTGCAGTAGGGTTGCCAACTCCCTGAAAAATAAATAAGGGACACCTCGTGGCCAGGGCCGGGCGACCCAGTTGTCTTCACCCTTCCCAGTGTGGTGAATTTTCTAGCTCTTTTTTTGTGTGAAATTATTTTTTTAACCATTTGACTTGAAGTTGATTTAAGTAGATGCATATTCTATTCTTTGTGATATGAACACATGTGAAACAAATGATCATTTAGCCATTTATTTTTAGCTCAAAATGACAGCATTAACACAGTAAAACAGGTCTCTTTCTTAAACAGAAGCCTGTCATGCTTAACTTTTGAGAATATAAGTAAATCTTTCTTTAAAAGAACTCTGTCCTGCTTAACTTAAAATAATAGAAAACAATAGAACGAAAAATATTCTTGTAACAGTGCACATTTAGTGCATTTAGTACAATTGGCTTCAGTTGAGGTATTATTTCAGCTTTTCTAATCAGCTGCTCCTGTTTGTAAACCCGCTTGTTCCCATGATTACTCATCTTAACTCATCATCATTATTCATCTATGTATTACTTTTATGTATTAGTCATCTATTTGTTGTAATCATCTATCCTTGCAGTTGTTTATTACACAAAATAAATTATATTATCACACTTCTGGCCACATAGCGCTGATATTCACTGCACATGCCCATATTAACGTTTTCCAGCCAGGTGTTTTCCTTTTCCCATTCTTCCCTTTCTCTGAGGGGAACAAACATTGCTGCTCTAATGCTGGGCTCACACTGTGCGGTTTTAGGCCCATTTTGAGCCGATTTTTGAGTGATCGGACCGATTTTGGCCTTCATCGTGCGTCGTGTAGTATACGTGGGGTAAAGAGAAGTGATTAACACCTCACGACCAGCTCCCGATCATCAATCGCTCGTGAGGGCGGAGCAGACGGAGCAGCACGGCTGTGCAGCGTGTGATCTGGACACAAGCGATGGAGGCACAACTTGTAGAACTTTGGAAAGCTCATCCGAGCCTTTTCGATGTGGCCTCACAAAATGATCACGACCACAACAACCGTGAAAACAGTTGGATCTACATCGCTGCTCAATCACAGCTGATCAATGTTTTTCATTAGCAATTTAGCAAAGTTGATGGTGGTGGTGTGTCTGTGTGAGTGAGAGACGGAGAGAGCGAGCGACAGAATTTCTGTTATAACCTTCATGTTATGGAGGCACAGTGTGAGCTCTCAGGTCGCATCAGAGCATCGGGCGGTATAGTGTGAGAGTACATCGTGACATACGAACTTCTAACCCCTGCGAGTCAATCGTGCAGTTTGAGCAGGAGCTGAATAACGCGACTGAAAAAATCGCACAGTGTCTGCCCAGCTTTAGGTGTACTGTCATCCGAGACGTGCACCGCAGTGTCTGCGTTTGTTTCCCTGTTGGCCATGCTTCTTGTTGTGGTCATCTGTTGTCTTCCGGTATTTTCTCCGCAAGCGACCTTTCCTCGACCAATGAGATGAGCGGTAATCTGAATTGTCATACTCGAATTGTCATAAGTGTGCTGTCAGCTCATTGGTCACAAAGCAGGAGAGGGGCTGGGAATTATGTTTTCAAACAAAGCGTTAATTCCATTAACATTTATAGACTACTTTTGATTCTCACTGTATTACGGGACAAAGTGCGTCCCTTATTAGCTCAATACGGGACGTGTACTTTTGTTTCGAAATACGGGACGATTCCGTATTTTAAGGGACGGTTGGCAACCCTAGTCTGCAGAGATCTGAGCAAGAACAAACGCCAACGACTGAGTGACAGGGACTCTGTGTGTGTGTGTGAATCATAGCAAACACTGAAAGGCATTTCTTGGACGCAGTAATGAGTTTTGTTTGCTCAAAATAATTTCCCCCTCAAAATGCAACATTTGTTCTTGCAACAATTATTTTACACGCACAAACAGAAACGACAGTATAGAAACAGCAGATGGCGCTGCAGGCGCGGGGGAGGGTTTCCATCCGGGTCAACTGTCGTGGCCGTTTAGCACAGCGTCGCTGCTGGTGAGTTAACGTCACCCCTCCCCATTTTTTAAAAAATAAATAAAGTAAATGTATTTTAGATGTGCCGTGTCCAGACAGCAGGGATCCAGTTCTCGGGTTGAGCTCGCCTCTCAACAGCTGCTGTACGTGACGTCCTAATGTTATGCCCGTTTGTAGTCATCGGCAGGCCTCTTCATCACGTTTCTTTACGTGATCTCCATCTTTCCCAGTGTGACCGTGGGCAGCGTGGCCTGGTCCCCTCCACCTCAGCAGTCATGTGCCGCTGCTGTCAATGCAAAGCATTAAGTTTGAACCTCAGTCTCTCTGGTTCTGTTCACTCTGTGAGAAAGCTGCCTGTCAGTAGTGTCCACCCTCGGCTGCCGTGAGCATGCCAGCTACATTTGATTAGGTTTGAACGGCTGCTGTGGGGCTCGGCTCAGTGTTGCCAACTCCTCCGTAAGGAAAATCGCTATTGGCTGTCCAAAAAGTCGCTAAATGACGTCATCACCTAATTTGTATAATTGGTCATGCTAATGTATTCGTAACCTACGCTGTTGGAGAGAGAAATAACATCGTGGAAGAGACAAAGTGAGTAAAAAACGTCCTAAATGCAGTTAGAATTTATTTAGAACTACAAATTAAATTTCTTTTAGCAATTATTGTTTTTTAATGCCACAATTCCAACCCTGATCCTCTATCCGGGTTTGGACCGGCAAAAGTGACATCATTTACAGTTCGGACTCACAGATGTGAACATCTCCTGCAGCGGGGGGAGGACTATCCTCCGCCCGTGAGCGCTTTAGCACGGGTGAGGTGCCCACGGCAGCACCCGCTGCTTGTTGAGAGTAAGAGCAACACGCCCTTTCACATCAAAAAGTCGTCATAAATAAGTCTCCAAGAACACCAGAAAAAGTCGCCAGATTTGTCGCTAGTCGCTTTTTGGAAAAAAAAGTCGCTAAGTTGGCAACACTGGCTCGGCTCAGTTTCCCTGTCCGAGTTAACCAGAGCCTGTTAACCCTGCTTTGTCTCTAAACTCGCGCTTCTTTCAGGTGAGCAGGTGACTGATCTTCAGTTCCAGCATTAGATTTGATCATCCATGCAGGAAATCAGTTTCCATCATGAGACTGTGCTGTCAGATGTTCACATGCTCCGTCCCGGTGGACGCCACCTTATGACACACCTCAACAACGTTGGTCAACCTGGTGTGTATAATGATGTCACTGTCACAGCGTCATAATAATGAAGCTGTAGGTTGTTGTGACTAAGAATACGTTTCCTGTTAAACTTTGTTTTTGTTCTCCCAGAAGTTTCAGCTCATTCTGATTTTTTATAATTAGTGAAAAACAATCACAAAAAGAAAACATGACAACTATTATGAAAGTGTTTGGAGTGATTTTAGTCAAACTGCCAGTCCTCAGTGGCAGTTCACTGTTCATTGTGCTTTATTTTTGCTGCTGTGTACAGAATCCGTTGTCCACAACGTGACAATGACCAAATCAGTGTTTTTAATATAATTATAGTATGTACATGTTTTAAATGACAAAAAGGTAAAGCATTACTCACTTGTTTGTGACATTTTTGTACTTGGTAATTGATCGAAGCTGCTAAGATGAAGACCTGAGCGAAATAAAATGTCAAAATTGTCATTTGAAAATTCAAATTCAAAACATGTCAAAATGCAAATCATCTGATTGTTAAACTTGTACTGAATATGTGTTTTTTCAGTATGTATACTTGTGTACTTTTCAGTCTTCATGTCTAGGTTTGTGATCCTGGCAGAAAGATGTGACGAGCCAGGGAGTGACTTAAAACATGAAAGTGAAACCAGCCAAACAGTCAAACAAGCCACTGAAGAACCTGATGGAGAGGACAGAAAAGTAGAGTCGCTCTTGGATTTCGATGGAGATCTTGACATAATACATCGGTATGCAAAAACATTTTCTCAGTCAACTATTAAAAGCTGCTGGTTTGCTTGGGAAGGGTGTCATACAGGTTAAGACCATCCATATACTATTTCAACCTCTTCAGATCGTTTGTTTTATTAATGTGTTCATTATCATTGTGTAGAGTGCAGAAAATGTTACAAACCTAGTAGAGCAACTTCATCTTTACCTTAGAAATCGGTGTGCAGCGACAGATTCATAAGTTGTGTGGAAGAACACAAAACATTAAATTAATTAAATAAACATTAAATAATCAAACATTAAACTCAAACTCCGACCCATCTGCATATTACTGCTCAACTTGCTGCGTGGACTCGGTGGTGCTCCGGGGCATTGTCACTGTGGGCCCTGAATTCACTTTGTTGGGTTATGTGGAATGGGGGTGACTGCTGAGCCGGTTGTTTGCTGGCTTTCTCCTTCCAGGGATAGTCTTCTACCTCCTGACCCTCCCTATCCCCACTGTCTCATACAACACATCACTCAACATGTAAAGTGTGAGTGAGGGGGGGTCGTGGGTTGCGTAGGTTGTAGCGTGTAGGGCCATTCACGTGGCTGTGCTGGCTGCACTGCGCACTAACCCGCCCCTCCTTTTTAATTGCTCCGTAGTCATTACAGTTCAGCACACAGACTGAACGAGTCACCTGGATAAGTGAGGAAACTTTTCTCCCACTGAAAACTTTGTCTGTCTTTTGTTTTAATCCATTCATCATCATCATCAAACCAGAATGTCTGTATTACATAACAAAGGGAGAGTATATGGTCTGCAGTTCCAACTGAAATGCACAGAATGAGCTGTGTTTTTCTTTTTTGCTTCAGAAGGGCTGTCCTGGTTGACACGCCTCTGCAATGTTGCGTGGAGATCAGGGGCAGTACCTGTGGACTGGCAGACCGGGGTGGTGGTCCCCATCTTTAAGAAGGGGGACCGGAGGGTGTGTTCCAACTACAGGGGGATCACACTCCTCAGCCTCCCTGGGAAAGTCTATGCCAGGGTGCTGGAAAGGAGAGTTCGTCCGCTAGTCGAACCTCGGATACAGGAGGAACAATGCGGTTTTTGCGGAACACTGGACCAGCTCTTTATCCTCTCCAGGATACTTGAGGGTGCATGGGAGTTTGCCCAACCAGTCTACATGTGTTTTGTGGACTTGGAGAAGGCATTCGACCGTGTCCCTCGGGGTGTCCTGTGGGAGGTGTTGCGGCAGTATGGGGTGTCTGGCCCATTGCTACGGGCCATTCTATCCCTATACAACCGTTGCAAGAGCTTGGTTCGCATTGCCGGCAATAAGTCGGACTCGTTCCCGGTGGGTGATGGGCTCCGCCAGGGCTGCCCTTTGTCTCCGGTTCTGTTCATAATTTTTATGGACAGGATTTCTAGGCGCAGCCAAGTGGCGGAGGGCTTTCGCTTTGGTGGCCTCAGAATCTCATCTCTGATTTTTGCAGATGATGTGGTTCTGTTGGCTTCATCGGGTGAGGGCCTCCAGCTCACACTGGAACGGTTCGCAGCCGAGTGTGAAGCAGCGGGAATGAGGATCAGCACCTCCAAATCTGAGGCCATGGTTCTCAGCCGGAAAAGGGTGGAGTGCCCACTCCGGGTCGGGGATGAGTTCCTGCCCCAAGTGGAGGAGTTCAAGTATCTCGGGGTCTTGTTCGCGAGTGATGGGAGAAGGGAGCCGGAGATCGACAGACGGATTGGGGCTGCAGCTGCAGTAATGCGGACGCTGCACCGGTCCGTCGTGGTGAAGAGGGAGCTGAGTGTAAAAGCGAAGCTCTCAATTTACCGGTCGATCTACGTCCCTACCCTCACCTATGGCCACGAGCTGTGGGTAGTGACCGAAAGAACGAGATCGCGGATACAAGCGGCAGAAATGAGCTTCCTCCGAAGGGTGGCTGGCCTCTCCCTTAGAGATAGGGTGAGAAGTTCGGCCATCCGGGAGGGGCTCAGAGTAGAGCCGCTGCTGCTCCACATCGAAAGGAGCCAGCTGAGGTGGTTCGGGCATCTGACAAGGATGTCCCCTGGGCGCCTCCTGGATGAGGTGTTCCAGGCATGTCCCACCGGGAGGAGGCCCCGGGGCAGACCCAGGACACGCTGGAGAGATTATATCTCTCGGCTGGCCTGGGAACGCCTTGGTATTCCCCCGTATAAGCTGGAGGAGGTGGCTGGGGAGAGGGAGGTCTGGGCCTCTTTGCTTAGGCTGCTGCCCCCGCGACCCGGCCCCGGATAAAGCGGATGAAGATGGATGGATGGATGGCTTCAGAAGGACATTTTAGATATATTGTTCAAACCGTGTCAGCTCAATTTTTATAAATTTGGTGTAAGATGATATTCCTGTTTTGCCTTTCAGGAAATAGTTTGTTGGTGAAACAGTTTCTTTAAAAAAAATTATTCTTAGATTTCTTGACATCCTTTGGATTGACACTGTAGGCCTAGATGTTGATTTGCTGTTATATTTTTGTTAGAAATGCAAATTATTTGTGTAGTGCGTCAGTGAAATATGATTTTGAAGGATTAAAAGTGTGTTTAGGAGAGTTGTTCATAATCTAATAATCACTAGCAACTATTAAAGCAGACCATATATTCTCTCAAACCACACTTTGCAGAACAAGGACCGACTCTTGAACATGATGTCCTTATTATTCCAGTTTATCTTCTGTGTGATGACAACTTGGAACACACAGTGGATTCCATCATACCAGTGTTTGTTTGTGGAAGTCTGCTGTGTTTGGTAGAACTTGGTGTTTTTAATAAAGACATTTCTGGGATCTCATTTCCCCCCCCAGTCTATCAAAGTAGTAGGCTTTGTTAAGAAAGAAGGGTCCAATCACACCATGCACTTCTAATGGTGTAGATTTTTACATACAACACACAAAAGTACACCCTGAGAGGTGTAGTGAATCCAGGTGTTTCAGTTGCTTCCATGGTGACAGGTGTATTAAATCAAGCACCGGGGCACGCAGACTGCTTCTACAAACATTCGTGAAAGAATAGATCACTCACAGGAGCTCAGTGAATTCTAGTGTGCTACCATAATAAGACGCTACCTGTGCAACAAGTCCAGTCAGGAAATTTCCTTGCTACTAAATGTTCTACAGTTAGCTGTTAGTGGTATTACAACAAATTCTTCATAAATGTTGGCCCTGAACTAGCAGCGGACATCCCGTGTCATAAAAATGAAAATATCAGTAATATAAAATCAAATCCCTTTTCACTGTTCCTCTCAGCTACAAATGAGCAAGAAGTAATAAATATCACATTAAAATGTAAAAGTAAGTCTTCAATGGATTATCATGACATAAATATGTCTGTAGTTAAACAGGTTATTCTGAATATTGCTAGTCCCTTAACATATATCTGTAATTTATCATTTCAGTCCGGTTGTTTTCCAAAAAAAATGAAAATTGCAAAAGTAATACCACTATATAAAAGTAATGACAAACACAGTTTTACCAATTATAGGCCTATTTCTCTACTGCCTCAATTCTCAAAAATTCTAGAAAAACTTTTTAATTCAAGATTAGAAAAATTCCTTGAAAAACATCAAATAATTAATGTTGGTCAGTATGGTTTCAGAACGCAAAGAACCACTTCAATGGCGATAATTGAGGCAGTAGAAGAAATTACTGATACACTGGATAAAAATAAATATGCAGTTGGTATTTTTGTTGGCCTCAAAAAGGCCTTCGACACAATCAATCACTCAATTTACTGGATAAATTGGAAAGATATGGTATTCGAGGGAAAGCTGGTAACTGGTTAAAAAGTTACCTAACGGGTCGGGAACAATATGTTAGCATAGGGCATTACCACTCAGAGAAACTTGGTATTACATGTGGTGTTCCCCAAGGGTCAGTGTTGGGACCAAAACTTTTCAATGTATACATAAATGATATTTTTGATGTTTCTCAAGTACTTAAACTCATACTGTTCGCAGATGACACCAACATATTTTTCAGTAGCGATGATTATACTGATCTTGTAATGACCGTAAACAGGGAGCTAAAATTAATAAAAAAGGGATGGACATAAATAAATTATCATTAAATATAAATAAAACTAAAGCAATGTTTTTTGGTAATTTAAAATATAATATAGAATTACCAATTATCATTGAAGGTGTACCAATTGATAATGTGAGTGAAAACAAATTTTTGGGAGTCGTAATTGATAACAAAATTTCATGGAAACCCCACGTCAGACACATAAAAACCAAAATTTCCAGAAGCCTCGCAGTTTTGAACAAAGTGAAGCAATTCCTTGATAAAGATGCACTTCGTACTCTGTACTGTACCCTGGTTCTTCCATATCTTACATATTGTGTGGAAGTGTGGGGAAATACATATAAAAATACAACTAATCCATTAGTCACAGTACAGAAACGAGCACTGCGTATTATTCACAAGGCTGGTTATCTAGATCATACTCACAAATCTTTCTTCAGGCAAAGTTACTTAAATTCCAGGATCTGGTTAATTACAATACATCCATAATTTTGTATAAAGCTTTTACTAAACTTTTACCGGCAAATTTACAAACTAGATTTGAAATTCGAGAAAAGGTTTATAATGTGAGAGGCTTTGGAGAATTCAAATTACCCAGAACTCGAACAACCCGTAAAGGTTTTTGTGTGTCTGTATGTGGTGTGAGAATCTGGAACAGTCTGAGTTTACAATTGAAACAATGCAAAAATATTCATAGATTTAAATTTCTCTACAAACAGTTGGTCTGGTCACAGTATACTCAATGATGCTTTTAGTGTGCTCTGTAATGTCTGTTCTCTTACCATTGCTGGTATGGATTCCAAAAAAAAAAAAAAAAAGTGTGCGTATGTATGTACATATATGTACATGTGTGTGTAGATATATATGTATGTATATGTATGTGTGTTTGTTACTTGTAGTTATTACTGCCTGTTACCTGTGGTAATGCAATTTATAATTCATATATTCTGTATTCAGTTATGAAGGCTCTAATTGTTGGTTG